TCTAGAGCCCAAGTATTAGATGTATTAAGTATGACACTAGCATAGGTGTTCATATAGCATCGAAGGAAACCCTGTTGAAAACCCTAATTTTCTCAAATCATGTAGTGAGACCCCTGAAAGTTGTTCATTTGGACAAAAGTTGGGGGATATCCTTGAATTTTTTAAATCCCTTGCTAAAGAATTTGGTTCATTTTACTTTGGAAAGCCTTAAAAATCCTATATTTCTCAATAGAAACCCTAGATTGATGAAATTACTGTCAAAATGAGTTCTAATCAATTAAGATGGTTAAAAAATGGCAAATAAATAAAAATTCAAAAATAAAATGCCCAAAAAATACTCTTACTTGAAGAAGATTACCAAAACATAAATTTTATTAACCAAGTAATTAAAGAAGTGTCAACTTATTTTGGATCCTTAAGTGAAAACCATGAATGTTCATGCCTTAATTGAAAATAAGAGAAACCCAAGTTTTTCAAGTTAGGGATAAAAGAAACCAAGATATTCTAAAACAACTTTAAACAGTAGATTGGAAGCTGAAGTTAATGAGGACCAAAAGGTTTTTGCCGATTCGAAAATTCCTATTTGTTGTGTAGTAGTGGTAGGAATCGAACATGAGATATGGTGTTGTTAAACATAGGAACCTAACTACTCAAGCCTAAACCCGAGTTCAGGATGGGGACAGAATTGGTAGGGAAGAGACAATTGTTGAGTTTTTCTAGCAAGCTTTTACCTCCCAATCCAGACTTCCTTTCTCCATAAAGGATCTCCTCTTCAAAAGATTAGATTTATCTATGGCTCAGGACCTGGAGACTCCTTTTTCCATAGATGAAGTGCAGGCAGTGGTCTTCTTCTTGTTGGGAGACAAAGTCTGTAAGCCTGACGTGTTCCAAGTGGCATTTTTCTAGGAATTTTGGGATGTATTCAAAGAGGACTTGATGCTTTTCTTCATAGAGTTTTATTCAGATTTCATATTCAACAAAGCCACTTATTCTCAAGAATAAGCAATTGGAGTCTTTACAAGATCTCAGGCCTATCAGTCTCTTAACATTAGTCTATAAAATTTTGGCCAAAGTCTCAACTGGATTCTTTACAAGATCTCAGGCCTATCAAACTCTTAACCTCAGTCTATAAAATTTTGGCCAAAGTGTGGTGGAAGGCCCTCAATCTGCCTTTATCAAAGTCCCACAATATGCAGATGATAGGCTGCTTCTCACTTTAGGATCCCTGGACCAAGTTCAACATATTTGGATTTTCCTTAAGTGCTATGAGCTCATCTCGGAGGAAAAGGTCAAACCTTGGGAAGTCCAAACTCATTGGGATCAATTTCTCTAATAAAGAATTGACTTATTGGGTACAATGGCAAATCTGCAGAGTGGAGAAGCTACCATGTGAATACTTAGGAGTCCCTCTTGCGGATGTGAGACTCCCTAAATCTGCATGGGATCCTATTATTGAATGGTTCGAGTATAAGTTAGATGGCTGGAAAGAGAAATACTTATAATTTGGGGGAAGAATAACTTTGATCAATTCTTCTTTGACTAACACTCCTGTCTATTTTCTCTCTATGTTTCAACCACCCATGTCAGTTCTTAAAAGATTAGAAGCACTGATGCGGAACTCATATAGAGTGGTTCTGCTAACTCCTAGAATTATTGCTTCGTTAGGTGGGATAAGGTTTTGCCCTAAAAAGGATAGAGGTTTGGACATTCACATATTAAAGTACATGACTGGTGCCCTCTTAATTAAATGGTGGTGGAGAGTTAGTCAAGAGCCTATGAGGGAATAACAAAAAGTGGTCATTTCTAAATATGGGAAAGACTAAAATGGATCATTCCCAAAAACACTCAGTGATTGTTCTACTTTAATGACTTGGAAAGGCATAGACTTTGTCAGGAACTTGTTCCTCATGTTCAATAGAATGAAGGTTGGGTCAAGTAATAACACCAAGTTTTGGTCAGGAAAATAGATGGGCAATGCCCCTCTCAAATTGTAATACCCAGACCTTTAAAGATGGTCTTCCTCTAAACAGGCTTTTCTCTCAGAGATGGCTATTGGCATGGGATCTAATTGCATATGGAACGTTGATTTGAGGGTGCGAAGAGTAGATGTAGTCACTGAGCAACAATTATTATCCCTAATGCACAAACTTTATTCCTTCTTCTATTTTCCTAACAGACAGAACTCTATTACTTGGGAGCTCATACCACCTGGATCCTTCTTGGTTAAGTCTTTCGTATCAGGAGATCAACTTTGATAGAATTATCAAGACGAGCAATCAAAATACAAAAGTTTGGGCCATTAAGGACCCTGAAGGGTTAGAGCATTCCTTTAGCTTCTGGAACATGATAAAGTGTTGACGGAAGAGTAATTGCATAAGAGGGGAAAACGTTTAGTCAATGTTTGCATCTTCTAGGATGCAAAAAAACAGTAACCACCTGGTCCTTCACTGTCCCTTTGCTTCATCCTTAAGGAATTGGATTTTAAGCATTTTGAGATAGCAGTGGTTGATGCTTGAAAACATTCACCAATTATTTGCCTTTATTCCATGCCCACCAGAATCTTAATTGTTACATTGCTTTGGTCTTTATGGAAGGAGAGGAATTCTAAAGTATTTGACAGCCTCTCAAAAGAACCAGCAGATGTTTCTTGCACAGCCTTGAGGTTGCGAGTTCATTGGTCACAAGCCGCTCTAAACTTGAATAGCTACCCCAAAGAATTCTTCTCATAGAACTTTGCTGACATCCTCTATATCCATAAAGAAGAAGTGGAAAACACCTCTTGAGGGATCGCTCAAACTGAACTTTGACGGAAATGTTCCTTCAAAAACTAAAAAAGCGCTATGGAGGCATTTTCAGGGATTTAAAAGGGAATGTCATCTTTACTCACAATGGACAACTTGACTTCTGTGACATTTATGAGGCAGATTGATGGTGGTTAAAAGAGCCCTTAATCTTCTAAAAGACCATGTTTGTGTCATAATCGAGAGAGGTTAAGCAAATGCAGTCAATTGGTGTGCTCACCCAAGCCTCGTCCCATGGCGTGTGACCTCTATAATGGATGAAATCGTTTTATCTACACAAGACAGGAAGTTGACTTTCTGCCATATCTAACGGAAAAAAGAATAAAGACATTGACAACCTCGCTAAACTAGCCACTATCTTAGGCCCTCTTGTTCTGCTTTGTTATTTTTGCGTTATTCTCTCCCCCTCCTCTCTTTCTCTCGCTTCTTCTCTCTTTTTTCCTTTGTTCCTTCTGTGCGCTTTTGTAATATTTCATTTACTCAATGAAATATTTCCTTAAAAATGTTAACACTTATTTTCTTAAAAATATTTCCTTAAAAATGCTATCTTTGTCGTAAAGCAATATTCTTTGCCAAAAATTTGGGGGTTGGAAATCTATCCTAGCAGAAATCCAAGTAAGTTTCGTGAAAAGCTTGCCTTGTCAAAATATTGAATTAATGGTGAAAGCATTCGTATAACCAGAGGACTATCATGCAAGTGAACTTATTGAATATAAGTGAAATATGGTTGCTTCTCCACTCTAAAAACACATTAAGTTCGTTTGAGATTGGAAGTTCTGAATTGAATTGTCTTTTTACTTCTTTTTTTTAATAAAAAGTAATTTATACGCTGGTCACATCTATGCCCACCTTAAAAAAAAAGGGATTGCATACTATTACATCATTCACTTTTAAGTATAAAATATTATTGGTTAACTTGGGTATTTAAAAAAAAAAAAAAAAGGAATATATAAAGTATACATGATCCCAACGTTATAAATTGGCTATTGATCACCATGTCCTCATCGGCTCAATATTTTATTTTAAATTTATAATCATTACATAATTAAATTTGGAGCTGATCTGCCAGAGATGCATATGATAAAATTAACAAAAATTATTTTATGTGATAAACAAATTATAAAAATACCCCAAAAACTTTTATAAGCTTTTTCATTATTTATTTTCATCGAAATATATTCTGTTATTTTTGCTAGGTGTGTTGCAATAAGATGGGACATCTTAAATTTCACTAGAAAAAGAGTTTTGTAGAAAAATATAATAAAATCAAACAGTCTTTGACATGTCATTGTGACGTAAACAATCCTAACCATCCATTCGGATAGAGCGGTTACGAAGTGAGGTGGCCTGCATATGGCAGGCGTACAAAGCTTTCCCTATGTTCAAAACCAATATAAAGCTTTTCCTCCTAAAAAAATAAAAAATAAAAAATAAAAAAATAAATAAAAAGGACCAGGAACACTGCGCGATTGGATAAGTAGGTCCCTTAATTTTGAAGCGCACGAAACTGGAATCCTAAAAAAACTCTCTCTAAACCATCTCTTTCTCTCTCCTCCTTGGTAGTGAGAGGTCACACACTCTCCCAAGGACTCGTTCGTATGAAGACAAGCAGTTCAGGGAGATTGCGGGGGCTGAAATCCCCTCCACAAATCAACAAACATCTCAAAACTCCTATCCACTGTCCACATGTACCAATTCCCCATATTCCTTACTGTCATCACACCACCCATTACTGAATAACCCTCCTCTCTCTCTCTCT